CCCCCCGACTGGCACAGCCTCTTTATTTCCGATTTCTATTGGGAGAAATAGATCCTCCGGGACAAACTGATTGCAGTGAAACGATTCAAATGCCGATATCTGCATGGCTATATGGCCTGGTAGGCAGACGATAACTGAGACATTTTTTCCTTAAATCGAAAGAATAATTAATGAAATCCACTCCATCTACCGGGAGTCTTAAGAGTATTGTAACATTCCTCTTTCTAAAGTACAGGACAACAACGGTGAAGTTACACTTTATATTAAATTACCAAAATGTTTGCGAGAATTGGCGTCACTTTTTTTGACATATTTCGCTGACTTAGATTGAATATGCACCCGTTTCCACAGAAAGGCTGTCTCTTGTTGCCGAGTCTGTAAATGGGCTGTTACTGATGAAGGGTCTCTGATTCGTGTCCTAACATTTCCACAGTGGTTATCGGCTCCTGCAGACTGAGGTGTTCACCTACACTACACTCTTAAGCCTTACTTAAATATAAAACCGACACTAGTTAATCACAATCAATAATTCATGACAAACTTTTAAAAAAGAAAAAGACTATTTTGAGAATTAAAAAAAAATCTCCTCTTTTGAAGGCATTTGAGGAACATCAATTATTCGATCCAATTTCCTGTTAACGATTCCTCAATCATTGTCAGATCTATTTCAAAAACAACAGTTAGAAATAAAATCTTACATCTTTAGGAACAAACGAAGAATTTGGTGCCAGGGATTTCAACACAAGATGAATTGAAAATTAAAACGTCTGAGCGGCGGATTAGTATTTACGAGAGTGTTTTCTGAGGAGATGGCATGTGATGTGTCATTACCACCCTAACAATCGCTGCCCAGTATCACAGAGACCTTACAAGTCACATGTGGTACACACATATCACAGGATTCCATTTCCCATGGCTGATCGATGCTGACAAATGGAAGCTAGGTGTAGCCGCTGCTCCTTGTTTACAGTACAGGCATTACGACAACTTCATGTATACAAGGTCTTAAAACACGTCATGTCCTTATTGACGACAGTTAAAACACGTCATGTCCTTATTGACGACAGTTAAAACACATCATGTCCTGATTGACGACAGTTAAAACACATCATGTCCTGATTGAGGACAGTTAATACACATCATGTCCTTATTGACGACAGTTAAAACACATCATTTCCTTATTGACGACAGTTAAAACATGTCATGTCCTTATTGACGACAGTTAATACACATCATGTCCTTATTGACGACAGTTAAAACACGTCACGTCCTTATTGACGACAGTTAATACACGTCATGTCCTTATTGACGACAGTTAAAACACATCATGTCCTTATTGACGACAGTTAATACACTTCACTGTTTCTGGAGTGAAAAAGAAAATGGAGTGAGATGTTGTCTAGATGGAATTTACCCTATAAACTGGTTTCAGCTGCTGTACGTATGTCATTAGAGTCGCGGAATTAAGTGTCAGCGGAAGAGTAAGGCATGCTTCTAAACATGCGACTGCTACAGCACATGACCTATGAGGAAAACATAAAGGAATATATTTCAGAAAATGTATCTTAATATGTTTTTGCTGAACTTATCAATAGCCTATTAAGACACCTACAAATACATTTCATTTTAGTTAGCCGATAATCCTGTCAAACAGGTACATTTATTTTACACTTGAACAACCCAAGCCACCAATTAATTCCTTGAAATGTCTCAAAACCGTACGTATACAACAGTATAGATGAAGCATCCAAAGGCGATACAAAGCCATTCCAATAATGACCGTTATCAGTAGTATCCAAAACAGTTTTTAATTAACTTCTAGGGTGTCAAAAAAGCCTTTTAAATCTAATGACATTATGTTCCCAGGAGGAGAATGGTCCAAGACGCCTCCTCGCGTACTGTCTTGGTGAATATCATCGAAACATTGGACATGCCGGTGACATTTCCCCGCGTCGCTGTCACGCAGGCCAATACTGGATTGCAATGGCCACAGGATATTGGCATCTTACATTAAACGAGACAGATGTAGACGGTAATGTAATCAAACACGGATACTTCTGTTATACAGCCACAGATTGTAATTCCACTTTCTATAACGACATGTAGTGTATAAAGAAAGCATTGCAAATATAATACTGAGGGGTTCAAATTACAAAAACAATTTTTTCTGTCTTATTTTCAAACCAAATTAACACACCTTAGCAAAAAAGGCAATAATGTACCTTCTGATAATTTTAGTGCGGATCTCATTTTACGATAAATTTAGTTAAATAGGACGAAAGTTACACCGTATTTTGTGTAGCTGAAACTAATCCCTGCTAATATGGAAGCTAAGCTTGTTATGCATTGAACCTTGTTCTAACCAGCTGGGTAAACAAAGATTGTATCCCCCCATTAAAACAGTTTGTAGTTAGAAGGTTCCTCCTACCAGGTATTAAAGCTACAATGCTACAAAATATGTGTTAAAACAAATAAAGAACATATTTCATAATCCAAGATTCAGAAATGAGAACAGATCACAAGCTTTAACGCTTTGTGTACCATATCTTCACTAAGATTTTAAGATCTGATAATTGTTCTGCAGCGTAATCAATCTCTACCTTACTCACCTTCTTTGTCTAAACGAACAGGCTCAAGTTAAAGCCAGATTTTTTATATACAGAATTTGATAATAAAGGATATTGGCAATACCAGTATGAAACGTCTGTAATAGCTGTATTTAAGCAGTGGTGAAATATTATTACACTCCCCAGTTACAAGCTAACAAGATTTCTGTGATAATGGTCTGATAAAAGCGTGATGTTGACAGGATGGTAACGATGGAAGATTCATTGCTCTTAAAACAGGAACAGTGGAGAGACTGACAGTGTATTCAGTATAAGCCTGGCACCACCAAACATTTCCTCAGAGAATTGTGGGGGAGGAGAAAGCCTAGCTTGTAACTATCACTTCTTTGACCGATATCCCAAAGGTAAAAAATCTAATGTTTAGTCAACTTAACAACTTTCAAGTGAAATTTTCAAATCAAAAAAGTTAAAGACTTATCAGAAAAACTTATAAAAAATATTTTATACGCTGTTAGAATATTTTAAGTATGTTATCAGAAAACTTTAATGTTATTCATTGCAATTTAGAACCGATTTCATTTAAAATCTTTACATAATCTGATTTTATGGCCTGCTAAACCTGCCCCGTTCCCCCGAGATGGAATTAACATGAGGAGGATATCACCCTGCTTATAACTTCATGGAGAGTGAGATTTCATTGAAGGCTCAACATAATGAAATTAAGGCCGAGGAGGCGGTTATTGTGGAGAACTTTCAAGCATGTGGGTGATACAGATCTGAGACTGTCAGTCCACGTACAGTTATGAGTTCCACATGTGCACTTCATTTGCAGAGCAGTGTTCTGCGTGCATGCTGCGCCTGCACTTCCTGGTAGCTTTGACAAAACATGTAATCTTCCAGCAGAGAAGTTTTTATTTCACTGAGATCCAACTTAAAGAAAATATACAACAAATACTTTAATGTCAACAAATGGAGTAAATGTCGTAACTGTGAACGCAAACATTAAAAAATAATCTAGAAACAAATTCTCTGCAGTTTTATTCTATTACATGTATCATCACAGAGAAACCTGAACAAGTCCTAGATTTTTGTTCTCATCAAAGGGTTTTCATGATGCTGGCCGAGTTAATATCCGGGGCGGATCAAATATAAATATTAATTGATGATAATAGTAAAACTTCAATGTCAGATGTACTTCTGTGTTTATAGGACATGAATACAATATGAATCCAATAGCGTAGTGGAGTAGGTTACCAGGAAACCATGGCGATGACTCAAACATTCATCTCTATAGGTCTTGTCTAGTTACTTCAAGTTTTCTTGAAACTGAGAAAAACTTAATGATAATAAACATAAAAGAAACTTTTCAATTGAAATGATATCGTTTAACAAATAGACCACAATTCCATTTTTTTTTTGTAATCACATTAAACTTTTACCCTTCCTTATCTACGATTTAAAGTACTGTAGTTTACAAAACCCCATATCTTTAAAAATAATTCCTAGATGAAAAACGCTATCATTACCTATTTCATAAAAAAAAATGAAATTATTTTTTAATGCCAACGAGCACTCATCTCATCCTGAACCACAAGTACCTGTGTGTCAAATTAACTTCTAACTTTCCTAATTAGATGGATAGCTGTCTGTAGCGCTCCCGCAGCCTGTGATCTGGGTCTGATACAAGCTTAATAGGTTTCTAGTAAGTGTTTCAAAACTCTGCTTGATTTAAGTCTGCCTAGTTAGTTTTTACATCAACTGGTTTTTCCTGCCTGCCTTTATATTTGAAATTAGATACTTATATTCTAAATAAAAGAAAAGGACACATAATAAAGTAATTATAGGAAAATTCTGACTCAAAAAAACCCAACCATTTATCTTCATTTTAATTCCCCCCCCCCTACTTTTTGCCTTCCAAATGTTCACCTGGGGCAACAAATTTAGTTAAAAATACAAACTTCATATCTTGCATCATATTTGTTAAAACAAAATATTTCCTTAATTTCGGAAATATTGAGTGTATTTAAGCTTCCGAGACCTCCTATTTGTGGGTTGTAAATGTGATTAATGAAGTGATAAATATGAGTGGATGTTTGTATGTGTAAAACAAGATCTACTATAATTTGTACAGCTTCCCTTAGACAAATCAGACAGCACTAACATCATCCAATACATCACCTAGTTACATAACAGTACGACTTGTCAGCCATTCACAATTCTCCCGTTTCAAATGAATCATAAATCGAAATGTAAACAAGAGGCCCAAGAGGGCCTGTATCGCTCACCTGAATATTTAAGCAGTCATAGCAAATATTCTCATGAAATATTATATTGTACAACAAATTTGTCATTCGTAAACTTTGTCGGCTCCATCTATTGAAACTACCAGTCAAATACTATTATGAGATTTTTTATGCATTTTGGCCATCGTTCTTCTTCAAAAGTTGTTTGACATATTTTTCCCTGTGACCTTGTAAGTATGTCAATTCATTTTCCTTCTCTATCCCAGGAAGCAACCAGCCAAATATAAAAATTCTATACCTTTTAGTTCTTCAGGAGAAGTTGTTAAAGAGTTAGACTGGGGGTAAACTTTAACCAACAGCTAAGACAGAGTAAACACAGGGATATTATCAAACTGTGTTTAGACTGGGGGTAAACTCTAACCAACAGCCAAGACAGAGTAAACACAGGAATATTTTAAAATTGTGTTTAGACTGGGGGTAAACTTTAACCAACAGCTAAGACAGAGTTAACACAGGAATATTTTAAAACTGTGTTTAGACTGGGGGTAAACTTTAACCAACAGCTAAGACAGAGTAAACACAGGGATATCATAAAACTGTGTTTAGACTGGGGGTAAACTCTAACCAACAGCCAAGACAGAGTTAACACAGGGATATTATAAAACTGTGTTTAGACTGGGGGTAAACTCTAACCAATAGCTCTGCATTTGGACTGGAAGTAAAGAAGCATGATCTGAGTACAGTATGGAGCCATGCTTTACTTCATGTGATGTACATTGTATCTCAGTTCAAGAACCTGGTCATTGTTTTTTTTTTTTAGAAATGTCACATTTCCCTGAACTCCCAAATCAGGTTTTAACTATACTATTGCATCTTTGTTTTTTCAAGATTAAATGTCACATTTCCCTGGACTTCCTAAGCATTGATTAACTATATACGTTTGTATAACAATGATTGACTATAATATTGTGTCTGTGTATTATATCTGTCTTCATCCCTCATATCCATATTGCACTCAAAAACATATTTAAATTCCTCGTACAAAATTCCATTTTTTCTATAGCGTAAATATCTGTACAGAGTGTAAGGTTTAAATAATTATGCAAAACTCGAAAAAATAACATAGCAAATAAAATCAGAATAAATAAGAAGATAACTTATATTGTAGTATTATGCAAACTAAATCTCATATTTCCCAACCACAGGAGGACATGTGTGAGGACAGAAATGTTGTGGCGAGGAAGTATCGCCACATGACCCTCATGATTTCGTAGAAAAACAAATATATATCAAGTATAACAAATTAACATCCACATTCCGTGGAAAGTAACTAGGACAGATGGCGCAGCTGTATGACTGCTATAAATTTAAACATATAAAAATCACATGTAGAAATAAAACAGGGGGATAAAGCAGTTTTCGTGTCACCGTGATGAATGGAATGGAAAGACTTGATTAATTTTCGACAAACATTCTGTCACTTTTTTGTCTTCTTTAAATTAAGGATTTTCACATGTGAATTTGAGTTTGCAGTAGCATTTAATTGAACCCTTTAACATCCAGCCAGCTTTTCCAGGAGATTTGGACCTTTGACTTTGTGTGAGGATGCCATTACCGCTGTGTGGGGTTTTGGCAGAGAAATATTTCACGTTCATCGATTGTTGCTGTAGCCCGACGTTAGCATGTGTACTGATAATTTTTCAGTTCCCTGGGTCGGCCCCTTTGTTACACAAACAGCCGCTAGATTTGAATTCCGGTGGCATGTCTTCGTGTTGGGCAGCACTTCTGAGCTGAAGACACAGAGCTGATGGCTGCACCTGTCACAATCTCTCAGCTCCCTGTGATGTCTCCTCGTACATTTACATGCCCGTGAATATTGGTGGCGTGTCTTTTGTGCTTTGTGGCAGACCATGGTTAGAATCAAAAACTAAGACAACAGTTGTATGGAAGTCGTCAGTCAGAACTGATCAGCTATACCCAGGGTCATTTATCAGGTAACATCTTAAGACATTTTGGACGGGTGCATGGTTAAGTTATAAAATCTTTACTCTGAGATGAAAGAAAATCTGCACTGATAAAAGCTGAATTTGAGGTCAAAGGTCTGCACTGACACATATTGGTCAAGGTAAACAATGCCATCTTGGTCATAGGTCTGCGCTGCTGTCCTGAGATGGGTGTTGGACACGAACGTTGATGTAACTGGCCACCAAGAGTGTTAGCTCCAGCACCTGTCAAAAACACAAATTTAAATAAGGTCACAAGACATCCCTGTAAAAGATCACATGACACACCATTGTAACCAATCACATGACACCTATATGTATAAACATCACATGATACAGCTTTACACAAACACATTGATACTTTTTAAGCTACCGTAGATTATATCAGTAATTGAACAATAAGAGCATATACCCTGTACTGAACTTTAGGATGAAAATAATCTCATTTCAAGTATAACAGAATGTTTAAAATGTTTGATAATAGATGAGACAGTGACAGTAAGTTGTGGAGAAATAGGAAGTAAAATAGAGGCTCTAATGTACGAGTGTGACAAGCTACAAACAGATTACTGGTACCCATTTCATATTATAACTTTATTAAAAAAAATGATATTTTCAAAGGAATCATTTTACCTAGTATACAAACACCTCAAAGATCTAGATCTACACCATTCTCCATACACCAGGCTCTCATTCAAAGACTGGTTGTCAGAATAAAGTTGGATTTTCTTGGGTCTTAACTGCATTTAAAAGCATTTTTAAAAGGTCACAAGTTTGATGAAGTTATAAAATAAGAAGGAAGGAAAGGTTAGGTATGTCAGAGACTGACTAATTAAGAGCTGACGAGCCCTATAGCTCGTATCCATCTTCTACCGCCATCTATCCTGCCTCGTCTAGCCTGCAGTTAGGTAAGAAATTAGTATACATATGTGATTGCCTAGATCTAATTTTTTCAACACAACCTATCTGTTATATGTTAGCTGATGAGCAGCAGGCAATAGGTTTCTGTTACTGATGATGCTGGCTAGCCTATAACATCGACTGTTAATGATGATGCTGGCTAGCCTATAACATCGACTGTTACTGATGATGCTGGCTAGCCTATAACATCGACTGTTACTGATGATGCTGGCGAGCCTATAACATTGACCTATCTTGTGGTGCCATAACCATTCTTTAACATCACATATTGTCCTCGCTCTATAATTACACTTTAAAAGTCAATTTTAGTTCACAAATCTATTTTTGAGTTGATAGCAATTACTTACACTATTTAATTTAAGCATAATTAAAAATGTAATAGTATTTGATGTACTTTTGTAGGTTTTCCTACTGAAGAATAGGGCTGACAGGACAGTGGTTGATTAATATATATATAGTGGAGTCGATGTTATATATACATGTACCGTACACAAAAACGGCCACCTTAATATCTTCATCATCGCATTTTAATTAACTTTCAAAATAAATTATAATTTACATGATGCTATTTTTATTGACGTTTACAATCTATCATAATACGCTCCTGTCAACAAAACCTACAGATGTAACAATGCTGTATTATATCTGTGGTGAGCGACAGAGGTAACAATGCTGTATTATATCTGTGGTGAGCGTGGCTATTTCTGGTGAGATAACAAGATGACAGGTGACAAGATGTACAGAGCACCTGTTACCATCCAACGATATCACTGTGCTGACCTGTTGCTCCCTACAAAGCACCTGTTATAATTAACATCCATTGATATCAGTGTTTACCTGTTGCTCCCAAGTAAACTCAGGTAGCAACACAACATTACCGTGAATAGTTTATCTGTATCCTAAGGGCCACTAAAGGTTTTGCATTAGTTCTATTTTTGTCCTCCACCTCCAGGGTTTAAGACATACCGGTTGAGACAGTTAAAACCTACCTACAACTATCTAAAGCAGGATTTTCATCAACAGAATGCTGATTTTCATGCGTATTTAAAGCCTCAACACCATTATGCATTGATATTAAGGAAGGATACTGTGAGGAGAATACATTGCAAACTATAGGATGTTTCTAGAAAATATCAGTGGAAGAGCATTTAATAGACATCTGATATAATTTAATGGTCATTTCATGAAATAATTAAAATTCTTAAAATAATTTGCTGGAAAATAATTTCACAATATTTTTAACAAATTAGGATTTACGGAAAGTTTTGATGCACAACAATCACTATACATGAAAGAGATCAAATAATGACAGGGATCTGAACAAGAGGCCCTATTGGCCTGTACCACTCACTGTTTGTACACTTATAGCTATGGTGGAATGTTTGTGTTCAGTGACTAAACACTCTCCTTAGTTAATGTCACGTTCAGGGAATTCCCCAGACTAAACACTCTCCTTATAGTTAATGTCACGTTCAGGGAATTCCCCAGACAAAACACTCTCCTTAGTTAATGTCACGTTCAGGGACTTCCGCACACTAAACACTCTCCTTAGTTAATGTCACGTTCAGGGACTTCCGCACACTAAACACTCTCCTTAGTTAATGTCACGTTCAGTGACTTCCCCAGACTAAACACTCTCCTTAGTTAATGTCACAATCAGGGAATTCCCCTGACTAAACACTCTCTTCCCCAGACTAAACACTCTCCTTAGTTATAATGTCACGTTCAGGGAATCCCCCAGACTAAACCCTCTCCTTAGTTATAATGTCACGTTCAGGGAATTCCCCAGACCAAACACTCTCCTTAGTTATTACGTCACGTTCAGGGAATTCCCCAGACTAAACACTTTCCTTAGTTAATGTCACGTTCAGGGAATTCCCCAGACAAAACACTCTCCTTAGTTAATGTCACGTTCAGGGACTTCCCCAGACTAAACACTCTCCTTAGTTAATGTCTCGTCCAGGGAATTCCCAAGACTAAACACTCTCCTTAGTTAATGTCACAATCAGGGAATTCCCCTGACTAAACACTCTCCTTAGTTAATGTCATTTTCAGGGAATTCCCCAGACTAAACACTCTCCTTAGTTAATGTCACGTTCAGCGAATTCCCCAGACTAAACACTCTCCTTAGTTAATGCCACGTTCAGGGACTTCCCCAGACTAAACACTCTCCTTAGTTAATGTCTCGTCCAGGGAATTCCCAAGACTAAACACTCTCCTTAGTTAATGTCACGTTCAGGGAATTCCCAAGACTAAACACTCTCCTTAGTTAATGTCACGTTCAGCGAATTCCCCAGACTAAACACTCTCCTTAGTTAACTATACATGAAAGAGATCAAATAATGACAGGGATCTGAACAAGAGGCCCTATTGGCCTGTACCACTCCCTGTTTGTATACTTATAGCTACGGTGGAATGTTTGTGTTCACTGACTAAACACTCTCCTTAGTTAATGTCACGTCCAGGGAATTCCCCAGACTAAACACTCTCCTTAGTTATAACGTCACGTCCAGGGAATTCTCCAGACTAAACACTCTCCTTAGTTATAATGTCATGGAATGTTTGTGTTCAGTGACTAAACACTCTCCTTAGTTAATGTCACGTTCAGGGACTTCCGCACACTAAACACTCTCCTTAGTTAATGTCACGTTCAAGGAGTTCCCCAGACTAAACACTCTCCTTAGTTAATGTCTCGTCCAGGGAATTCCCAAGACTAAACACTCTCCTTAGTTAATGTCACAATCAGGGAATTCCCCTGACTAAACACTCTCTTCCCCAGACTAAACACTCTCCTTAGTTATAATGTCACGTTCAAGGAATTCCCCAGACTAAACACTCTCCTTAGTTAATGTCATGTTCAGGCAATTCCCCAGACTAAACACTCTCCTTAGTTATAACGTCACGTCCAGGGAATTCTCCAGACTAAACACTCTCCTTAGTTATAATGTCATGGAATGTTTGTGTTCAGTGACTAAACACTCTCCTTAGTTAATGTCACGTTCAAGGAGTTCCCCAGACTAAACACTCTCCTTAGTTAATGTCTTGTCCAGGGAATTCCCCAGACTAAACACTCTCCTTAGTTAATGTCACAATCCGGGAATTCCCCTGACTAAACACTCTCCTTAGTTAATGTCATTTTCAGGGAATTCCCCAGACTAAACACTCTCCTTAGTTAATGTCACAATCAGGGAATTCCCCTGACTAAACACTCTCCTTAGTTAATGTCATGTTCAGGGAATTCCCCAGACTAAACACTCTCCTTAGTTAATGTCACGTTCAGGGAATTCCCCAGGCTAAACACTCTCCTTAGTTAATGTCACATTCAGGGAATTCCCCAGACTGACTTTCAGTAAAAATATATTAATATACAAATTCTTGATAATTTACATTTTTGTTATCCAAAATACTTCCTTAATTAGTTTATACATAATCATATTTGTATTCATATTAATATGTATTTTCATTAACCATTTTAGAATTTATGGCTGGGAACATCTGATCAGTTAACTAGAATTGTATGCCACTGGCTAGCTATAAATAGCCCCGACTTTGACACACACAAAATATAAAAAGAAGGGTGCAAAATTACTCCATTAAAAAAAGATAAATTCAAAATAAAATAGAATCTTATAACCGTAATTGTACTAAATTCATGAATATTAGTCAAAAAGGTTAGTAGCAGAACTTTGGACAAAATTTGAAAATGAATTTGAGAAAATCAAAAAAAATTGAGGTTATATTCCATTGAAATAGGACTAATTATCAGCCCCTGTAGATACCTGTACCAGGAAAATGCTATAAAGCAATGCCTACCTTAGGTTTTGGCATCGAGAACAAGAGCTTCTCTGTGCGGTGTTCATAATGGTGCGGAGCCGACTCTATTAGTTGAGTGACCACCAGCATGAAGTCGTCCTTCCAGCCGCCAAATGTAATCACAGATCGGAAGTCATAGGAACTGATGGGTTGCTACAGGAACAAAGAAAATAATAGTCACAACATTAAAATCTGGTAACAATCGCTTCCTTTATGTCTGTTGGCATTTAACATTTCATTACTTCCATCTCTACCTAAGCTTATCAAATTATTTTGTAACCATGGCTAACATTCAGAAAATTGTAGATATTTTAAGATAAAATTAGCAATGTGATCTACTTGAATTCAATTCCATTTATATGTACACTAAAACCATGACTACATTTTAATGAGGTGAATAGATTGTGTTAAAACCAAAGCAGTTAAGAAAATTGCCAATTCCCTGGCACTGATATATACATTTAAAGACCTAAAATAAGATGGAAAGATAGCCCCTAGGAAGTGGAAACTGTGCCGTCTGTTATAAGATCAACTATAACGGTACACTTAAGATTATTCGACCTTTAAATTATCTGACCTTCAGCAGCCACTCAAAATGGAACATGGCCTCTTCTCACATCCCCATAGTCCAATAACAAAACTTGTAATCATTTGCAATGCATTTGGAAACCAAAAATACTGTTCAAGTACATATATATGGATGCAACGCTTAGGATATTGAAGTACAAACACGACCCGAAATAACATTGATGGATCAAGTCTCTTAGAGTTTGAAGGCATGGAAGCGGGCAGTGTGAGTAATTTGGCCCCAAACATAGATCACATGTGAGGCTATAGACAGCACAGAGAGCCATTGAATCAGTCTTTATTAGGCAATTACAGTCTTCATTAGACAAATTTCACAAGTATCCTACCTACATTCATTTTTTTCTCATTGTTTCTGTTTCCCAAGAGACAAAAATAAGGAAGAAGTCTGTCGATAAAAGCACAACCCCTTGACTAATGAAGGTCAGCTCTTGCCCAAACCGTCTGTCCCTGTCATGTCATTTCCATGGTAACCAGCACACGGTCATTTAACTTTCATGACAAAATGTTCATTGTGATCGCCTGAGCTCAGCCATTTTTTCCGGTGTGGTCATCTTATTCATTACTAATTCATAACTACTGAGTACAACAATAACAGGGTTGTAAGAATGGAATTGCTCTCGTGTGATTGGAGAGCGATTCAACGGCTTGAGTGGTGCGCCGTGGCCAGAAAAGACATATACTAGCATAATTATTATCTTTTTGATGTCTGACTGAATGAAAGAGTGGGTAATTTTTTCCAATAAAACACCCATATTGGGAATGAAGAAAAATCATTAATCTTTTCCTGTCTGAAGCTAGCAAGCTAGGTATATACTGCAGGAGTTAGTGATGGGAGTCTAGACAAATAGGCAGTCGGCTGTATATACAATGACACAAAAATAGGCAGTCCGATACAGATACAGACATTCTACACCACTGCCAGACCTATTGGGGATATATCTATCTCCCAAAGCAAAATGAAAATTGATGTTTTACGATACTTTCACAGACTATTAGCTGACTTATTATTGTGTGCAATGAGTCTATCACACCAGCGACTAATTATCATTAATGTACTGGGAGTCACTTCCACGCCACTGGTCTGTTAGATATCTTGTACACAAGCATTTCACCTCATAAGTAGTCAAGCTTGACCTTTCACCTTAAATCTAGACTGATGACCACAACAATCTGGTCAAGTGCCAAATTTGGTGTTACCATACTATGCAGTAAATATAAAATAATGTTTTGAGGAGTACATTAGATATCAGTCTTGTACACTCTCAAGATAATGGAAAGTTCTGTTATTCTCACGTAACTGGGGTGTTTTGTAAAATTGAGAGATATCTATCAAGTCTTTCAGTAGACCCTTGGAAGTATCTTTCTGACTCCCCAAAATCAGCTTTGACTCTTAAGTTTGAAAGGAAATGTTCATTCGACACATGTGTATGTTTTGTTTTAAGGTTTCAAGTTTATGGGGGGGTGGGGGATTGGTTAACAACTTCTAACATTGCTGAATGGCAACGGTCAACTAATATGAAGACTATGTCCAAGTAAAACACGGCCATGTAGGGTTTTACTCTACTGTGAGTGGTGAACACGGCCATGTGGGGTTTTACTCTACTGTGAGCGGTGAACACGGCCATGTGGGGTTTTACTCTTCTGTGAGCAGTGAACACGGCCATGTGGGGTTTTACTCTTCTGTGAGTGGTGAACAAGGACATGTGGGGTTTTACTCTTCTGTGAGTGGTGAACAAGGCCATTTGGGGTTTTACTCTACTGTGAGCGGTGGTGGCATGACATCACATGACATAATCAGATGACATAACACGACGTAATCAGATGACAACACACGACGTAATCAAATGACATCACACGACGTAATCAGATGACATCACACAACGTTATCAGATGACATCACAAGACGTTATTAGATGACATCACACGACGTAATCAAATGACATCACATGACATAATCAGATGACATCACACGACATAATCAGATGACATCACACGATGTAATCAGATGACATCACACGACGTAATCAGATCACATAATCAGATGGCATCACACGACGTAATCAGATGACATCACATGACATAATCAGATGACATCACACGACGTAATCAAATGACATCACACGACGTTATCAGATGACATCACACGACATAATCAGATGACATCACACTTCATTATCAGATGACATCACACGACATAATCAGACAACATCACATAATATCTTTATTTTAGCGGGGAAGATGGAATAGACTGAATTCTACTATTCACTAAATAACTCACATTTGATGATATCAGACAAGGGAGAAAGAGTACCAATATCCCTATGTAGATGTGGATGTTATATGTAGTCTACCCTTAGTGTAGAACCTTATCAAACACTGGTTCTGACCCCAAATTCTATACCCTCGAGATAAGTTTTTATATCAATCACACTTTCTTATGACAGATCTAAATCCCACATGGGTGTTTGTAGTGGGATATATATTTGTTGTAAGTAGGGAGAATATGGTGTGGTCGATCTGTGAACTACGACGGAGTGATATAGGCTGTTAATATGGAGCACTGTTTACCACTCTCTCTATACATCAATAACAACAATAACACATCAGGCACAGCTTCATCGTAAGAATTTAGTTCATTTCTCCGGAGAAATGAATAATTAATCACAATCAATAGCGCCGCCTACTGTGATAAAACGCTACTGTCATTATCTGGTGGTAAGTTTACACACCGCCGATGTTATATATAAAACATCAATTATTTCATCACCAATGTTCCGTAATAATTGAGAAAAAACAGACCTGAAAATAATTATAACATTCTGAACAAACTGTAATTAATAAATAATATATTTATTTAAAAAAAAAAAAAGTGCTATGAAAATATATGACTGTTGTCAAAATTTTGTGATTTATCATGGGAGACAAATTTCTGTGAAGGTGACATTTAAAATGTTTTCTTTTCTGTTGAAATAAACTTATTTTGAATGTGGATTAAATGTATCCTGTAACTCCTATAGCAGGAAATTAGCTACATCCTAAAAACTACGCTATATTTACATCACATCCTACTATATGTAAATAAATCTATTTTTAGCGATTAGTTTGAGACAAAAGATGTAAAAGTGCAATTAAAAACAAGGAAAGCATTTTGTTTTGGCTTTGATAGTGGTACGGGGACTGTAGGGCCTTAACTCATTCACCCCTGATATTTCATAATGAGCTATTCCATCCTTTGAATTGGAAGAATTCAAATGTGGTTTTGGGAGTGAATGAGTTAATCAGCACTACACCTGTAGATTACACCTGCCACACTAACAACTCTTTATTACACCAGTCTATGACTATTTACTGTATATATTGTCAAATGTACAGCTCATGGTAAAGTCTGCAGTGGTGAAATTATGGTTGTCCAACTTTTATCTTAAGGTCATAGGAGTGTATTGATAAACGGAAATAGGAAGTACATCCCTAGTTGAAAATCCAATGTAGGGAGACAGTATCACGATTTCCGCACATTCAAATGTTGAATATTAAACTGATGAATATTGTATGTTTGTTATTGACAGAACAGTGTGTTCTCTCAATATTTAAAGTGTTTCAAAGCAATCCAGGCATTAGTTCAGGTTTTTTTTTATCAATGAGTCACATGTGTCCATTTTTCTGTACTGCTGGAAACCAGCTACCTATTTCACTACTGTGAAGTTTTTCAAGAACGATAACTCATACATGCAATTACTATGTGTATATGGTTTTATCATAAAATGTCAATTTTTAATCGTTTATAGATAATTAATTTTACACAATTTCAGCATTTATTAAATTGATATACATTAATGCGATACTAATCTATGTCAGTATCATTGTTATTGACATTATTTTGCAAAATATTGTGCGTTTCAATTTTTTTCAAAATTCACTCCTTTTTACATAAATTTCCTTTTAAAATCCTTAAAATTCTGACAGCCTTTATTTTTTTGTGGTAGAACATTTTCTTTAATTCAAAGCAGTATAACTTCAAAATTTGAAGAAATTCTACTGAGAAATGGTGACACAATCCAATTACCTAAAATAATATAAAAAGTGAAATGTTTAATCTTTTTTCACAAAACTCATTGATCTAGAGATATTCTAGTAATTACAAATTTCTTATTCAAAAGGATCTTATTTTAAACCCATGAACATGGAAAGCTGAAACAAATTACCATGTTTAATTGGCTCTTCTATCTAACGTACTGTATCCGATTTAGTTTAATACAAAATGGACACAATCTTACTTTGATAAGGAGAAAGGTAAACATGAAATACATAGCTTTCTTTGTACTCGAAGCTCACCTGCCATCAATAATTACAAAGTGACGATCATAATTATTACTTTTTATATCCTGCGGTACTCTCCCAGCGACAACTACCAGGTATTTAAATAAAATCCTTAAATGATTATAAAAAGCTCTTTATTTGATTAAAAGCCTTCTATCAGATCCTCCTCGAATGCTGCTCCTTAGCTATAGGCTAATAGCTAATACAAGTGTTTGTCTGGCGTTCACAGGAAACGCCACATAGGTATA